CACTCCTCGGTCAGACACAATATTCAGAGGAACGCCATGTAAACTTACAATTTGTTTGATGAAAGCAGAGGCAGTTTCTGTGGAAAAAGGAGTCCCTTTCAAGGGGATGAAATGAGCCATTTTAGACAGTCGATCGACTACTACAAAAATAGTGGTGAAGCTTTCAGATGGGGGCAGTTCGACAATAAAATCCATAGAAATCATACTCCAAGGCTTTTCTGGTATAGGCAGAGGCCCCAGGTCTTGCTTTTATCAGATTTGTTCCTCAGGCAGAAGGTGCAAGATCTCACATAGTCCTGGCAATCCTTCACTGCGTTTGGCCACCAGAAGGAGCGAGAGACCAGATCTGAAGTCTTATGAATTCCAAAGTGTCCTGCTAAAGAATGGTCATGACATCTCCGGAGAACAAGGGTTCGAAGTTCTTCAGGCACGAAGATTTGATCCTTGTGAAAGTACAAACCATCCTTTAGTTGTAGATGCATATTTATGGGAGGTGGATGGTTATCCACAACTTCCCTGATCTGTGTTAGAAGGTCTGTCTGAAGGAGTAAGACGTTTTTGGCAGGTAAGATCGTATCGGGTTCAGGCTGCACAATTGGGTCAGGAAACATACGGGACAGAGCATCAGGTTTGCCATTTTTAGATCCCGGACAGTACGTCAGATGGCAAACGAAGTGAGAAAAGAATAGTGCCCATCTTGCTTGTCGTGGTCTGAGGCGCTTAGCCGTTTTCAGATACTCCAAGTTCTTATGATCGGTATAGATAAGAATAGGATGCGATGCCCCTTCTAGTAGGTAATGCCACTCTTCCAATGCTGCCTTGATGGCTAATAGCTCTCTGTCCCCCACATCATAGTTCCTTTCTGAGATACTCAATTTCCTGGGAGAAAAAAGCGAAGGGGAGCAGAAGGGATTTGAGCCCCTGTCTTTGTGACAATATGGCACCTACCACATTTTCAGATTCGTCCACCTCAAGGACGAAGGCTAAGGTAGGGTCTGGGTGCTTCAGGATGGGTGCGGATGTGAACATGGTTTTCAGTTGTTCAAAGGCTGTTTGAGCCTCAGGAGTCTACTTGAAGGGAACATGCTGCCTGGTGAGCTGTGTCACCGGCGCGATGATTCCCGAGAAATTCTTGATGAATTTTCTATAAAAATTTGCAAATCCAACAAAGCGTTGCACAGCTTTACTGTCACCTGGGATGGGCCATTCTAAGACAGTGGACACCTTTTTGGGGGTCCATAGAGATGCCCTCAGGAGTGATCACAAGACCGAGAAACTGGATGGATTGTGTCAGGGCTCCCGGGTATGACCAGAGGTGTGTGACTGACGCAGGGAAACGCAGACTTCCGATAAGTTATAAACAATTTATTAACACTAACAATACAAACATAAACGCAGTGCAATACTAAAACATAACACAGTGCAAACGAACCAAACCACCCACAGATAACAGTACATACAGTGCAAGCGTCATCAGGCAGGACGGGTCAATATCAAACGGGCAGGTAGGTACAGGGGGAGCAAGCGGAGAATAGTCAGGTCACGAGCAGGGAACAGCAACTAACAGGCAGGTAGGTACAGGGGGTCAGGCAGAGAATGGTCGGGGTCACAAGCCAGGGATCAGAACAGGAGAAGTCAGCAGGGGTCAGAATCAAGCTGGGTCAGCAACAAGACAGGAACAGGAACAGGAGCAGGATGCAGGAACAAGATACAGGGCCCAGGAAAAACACAACACCAAGGCAGAGTCTGCAGGTCTGAATGTCCCTTAAATACACCAGTATAATTAGTTCCAGGTGTTTGACTGGCTGCAAGGTTGAGTCTCTGATTGCTGGGAGCACCCACTGGCCAGCCCTGGTACTGCAGCTCACAAGGCAGGTGAGTCCCACTATTGCTGGCCAGTCCATTCCTGACAGTACCCCCCCCCCCTCAAGGAGCGGCCTCAGGACGCTCCAAACAGTCCTAGCTGGGCAAAATGTTCCACCGCCCGGTCTGGTAACTGGCGGGATATCAAAGACTGGCACACCGGGCAGGACTCCGGGCAGCGGCACACCGGGCAGGACTCCGGGCAGCGGCACACCGGGCAGCGGCACATCGGGCTGGACTCCGGGCAGAGGCACATCGGGCTGGACTCTGGGCAGAGGCACATCGGGCTGGACTCCGGGCAGAGGCACATCGGGCTGGACTCCGGGCAGAGGCACATCGGGCTGGACTCCGGGAAGAGGCACATCGGGCTGGACTCCGGGCAGAGGCACATCGGATTACCAGGTGAAGCAGCAGGCACCGGGCCCCCAGGCGTGGCGACAGGCATCGGGCCCCCAGGCGGGGCGACAGGCACCGGGCCCCCCCCCCCGGCGGGCGACAGACATCGGGCCCCCAAGCGGAGCGGCAGGCGCCGGGCCCCCAGGAGGGGCGACAGGCATCGGGCCCCCAGGCGGGGCGACAGGCATCGGGCCCCCAGGCGGGGCGACAGGCATCGGGCCCCCAGGAGGGGCGACAGGCATCGGGCCCCCAGGAGGGGTGACAGGCATCGGGCCCCCAGGCGGAGCGGCGGGCACCGAGTCAGCAGGCACGACAGTGGGCACCGAGTCGTCTGGCAAGACTGCGGGCACCGAGTCGTCTGGCAAGACTGCGGGCACCGAGTCAACTGGCGGAACAGCGGGCATCGAGTCAACTGGCGGAACTGCAGGCACCGAGTCGTCTGGCAAGACTGCGGGCACCGAGTCGTCTGGCAAGACTGCGGGCACCGAGTCGTCTGGAAAGACTGCGAGCACCGAGTCGTCTGGCGGAACAGCGGGCATCGAGTCAACTGGCAAGACTGCGGGCACCGAGTCGTCTGGAAAGACTGCAGGCACCGAGTCGTCTGGCAAGACTGCGGGCACCGAGTCAACTAGCGGAACAGCGGGAATCGAGTCAACTGGCGGAGCAGCGGGCACTGAGTCGTCTGGCAAGACTGCGGGCACCGAGTCGTCTGGCAAGACTGCGGGCACCGAGTCATCTGGCAAGACTGCGGGCACCGAGTCAACTGGCGGAACAGCGGGCATCGAGTCAACTGGCGGAACAGCGGGCACCGAGTCATCTGGCAAGACTGCGGCACTGAGTCAACTAGCGGAACAGCGGGAATCGAGTCAACTGGCGGAGCAGCGGGCACTGAGTCGTCTGGCAAGACTGCGGGCACCGATTCGTCTGGCAAGACTGCGGGCACCGAGTCATCTGGCAAGACTGCGGGCACCGAGTCAACTGGCGGAACAGCGGGCATCGAGTCAACTGGCGGAACAGCGGGCACCGAGTCGTCTGGCAAGACTGCGGGCACTGAGTCGTCTGGCAAGACTGCGGGCACCGAGTCAACTGGCGGAACAGCGGGGAATCGAGTCAACTGGCGGAGCAGCGGGCACTGAGTCGTCTGGCAAGACTGCGGGCACCGAGTCGTCTGGCAAGACTGCGGGCACCGAGTCATCTGGCAAGATTGCGGGCACCGAGTCAACTGGCGGAACAGCGGGCATCGAGTCAAAACTGGCGGAACTGCGGGCACCGAGTCGTCTGCTGGCAAGACTGCGGGCACTGAGTCGTCTGGCAAGACTGCGGGCACCGAGTCAACTGGTGGAACAGCGGGCATCGAGTCAAACTGGCGGAACTGCGGGCACCGAGTCGTCTGGCGGAACTGCGGGCACCGAGTCGTCTGGCAAGACTGCAGGCACCGAGTCGTCTGGCAAGACTGCAGGCACCGAGTCGTCTGGCAAGACTGCAGGCACCGAGTCGTCTGGCAAGACTGCAGGCACCGAGTCGTCTGGCAAGACTGCGGGCACCGAGTCAACTGGCGGAACAGCGGGCATCGAGTCAACTGGCGGAACTGCGGGCACCGAGTCGTCTGGCAAGACTGCGGGCACCGAGTCGTCTGGCAAGACTGCGGGCACCGAGTCGTCTGGCAAGACTGCGGGCACTGAGTCAACTAGCGGAACAGCGGGAATCGAGTCAACTGGCGGAGCAGCGGGCACTGAGTCGTCTGGCAAGACTGCGGGGGCGGCACCGAGTCGTCTGGCAAGACTGCGGGCACCGAGTCATCTGGCAAGACTGCGGGCACCGAGTCAACTGGCGGAACAGCGGGCATCGAGTCAACTGGCGGAACAGCGGGCACCGAGTCGTCTGGCAAGACTGCGGGCACTGAGTCACTAGCGGAACAGCGGGAATCGAGTCAACTGGCGGAGCAGCGGGCACCGAGTCGTCTGGCAAGACTGCGGGCACCGAGTCGTCTGGCAAGACTGCGGGCACCGAGTCATCTGGCAAGACTGCGGGCACCGAGTCAACTGGCGGAACAGCGGGCATCGAGTCAACTGGCGGAACAGCAGGCACCGAGTCATCTGGCATGACTGCGGGCACTGAGTCGTCTGGCAAGACTGCGGGCACCGAGTCAACTGGCAGAAACAGCGGGAATCGAGTCAACTGGCGGAGCAGCGGGCACTGAGTCGTCTGGCAAGACTGCGGGGCACCGAGTCGTCTGGCAAGACTGCGGGCACTGAGTCATCTGGCAAGACTGCGGGGCACCGAGTCAACTGGCGGAACAGCGGGCATCGAGTCAACTGGCGGAACAGCGGGCACCGAGTCGTCTGGCAAGACTGCGGGCACCGAGTCGTCTGGCAAGACTGCGGGCACCGAGTCGTCTGGCAAGACTGCGGGCACCGAGTCGTCTGGTGGAACAGCGGGCATCGAGTCAACTGGCAAGACTGCGGGCACCGAGTCGTCTGGCAAGACTGGCGGGCACCGAGTCGTCTGGCAAGGACTGCGGGCACGACCGAGTCAACTGGCGAAACAGCGGGAATCGAGTCAACTGACGGAACTGCGGGCACCGAGTCATCTGGCAAGACTGCGGGCACCGAGTCGTCTGGCAAGACTGCAGGGCACCGATCGTCTGGCAAGACTGCGGGCACCGAGTCGTCCTGGCATTGATCGTCTGGCTTGACAGCGGGCATCGGGTCACCAGGTATGACAGCGGGCACTGGGTCACCAGGCATCAGGTCATTTGGCTCGCCAGCGGGCACCGCGTCATCTGGCAAGGCAGTGGGCACCGAGTCACCAGGTACGACAGCGGGCTCTGAGTCAATTGGCACGACAGCGGGCACCGGATCAGGTACCGGATCATCTGGATCAACAGCGGGCATCGAGTCAACTGGCCTAATAGGATCATCAGGCTGGATCAGTTCATTATGCTGGGTAGAAGCATCCCGGCTGAGTAGAGGCATCCGGCTGAGTAGAGGCTTCAGGCTGAGTAGAGGCTTCAGGCTGAGTAGAGGCTTCAGGCTGAGTAGAGGCTTCAGGCTGAAGAGAGGCATCAGGCTGAACCACGGAAGGCAGGTTCTCAGACGGTAAGGCCTCACCGGTTTGGATACTGGCAGGATGGTACTGGTTGGAAAGAATTTTCCGCTTTTTTTTCTGGTTTTAACTACTGGGGCACTGCAAGTAAACGCAGGTCTGCAAATGAATGGGAGCAGCTGGAGACCAGAGAAGAGCTGGAGGATGGAAACAGGGGAAGGAACAGTCGCTACAGAGGGCTTTTTTACAGGGTTAAAGGCAGGATAGGTGCAGCGATGGGAACAGGGTACTGACATGCGGTAGATAGCCAACGATAGTATACTGGGCTGTAACTGGAGGAGCTGTTGGAATACAGGAGTAGAGCTTTGAGGAGATAGATTAGAAGCAGGACTGGGTCTTTGTAAGCTGACTGAGGCTGGGTGCAACAAGTCTGACCATGTCTGCAGTAGGGGTTGAACAAAGCTCCGCTTACACAAAGCCTGTCCCTGACCAAAGACTGCACTGCGTTTATACATCTCTTAGTACCTGTGGAGAACATGTGGAATAACGCTCCAGAAAGTAACCCACATCATCCTCTAATACCCATACCAGGGACTCTACCTGGTCTGCACTAAATGGTGGCAAAAATTCATCCCTGCATTCGGGGGGTACCAGATGAAACCAACTCAGCACAAACCTCAATCAATGGCTGCACCTCAGAAAACTCTTGTCCTGTGCCCTGATCTACTAGAACATGAGCGAACTGTATACATTCTAGCAGTTCATCCCGGGTATATACTCCTTCAGAGTTTGATAAGCATACTCCCTGTCATCAAACACTAGCAGATATAAATACATACACAACCTCATCCAGATCCATCCTTCCCATCAACAAGCCAAGATGGCTTCCCTGTGCAGCCACTTCTGGTCAGGATTGGCCTTGGTGTAATGTCAGGGCTCCCGGGTATGACCAGAGGTGTGTGACTGACGCAGGGAAACGCAAACTTCCGATAAGCAATTTATTAACACTAACAATACAAACATAAACGCAGTGCAATACTAAAACATAACACAGTGCAAACGAACCAAACCAAACCACCCACAGATAACAGTACATACAGTGCAAGCGTCGTCAGGCAGGCCAGGTCAATATCAAACGGCAGCAGTCGTAGGTACAGGGGGAGCAAGCGGAGAATAGTTCAGGTCACGAGCAGGGTACAGCAACTAACAGGCAGGTAGGTACGTGGGGGCAGGCAGAGAATGGTCGGGGTCACAAGCCAGGGATCAGAACAGGAGAAGTCAGCAGAGGTCAGAATCAAGCCGGTCAGCAACAAGACAGGAACAGGAACAGGAGCAGGATGCAGAAACAAGATACAGGGCCCAGGAAAAACACAACACCAAGGCAGAGTCTGCAGGTCTGAATGTCCCTTAAATACACCAGTATAATTAGTTCCAGGTGTTTGACTGGCTGCAAGGTTGAGTCTCTGATTGCTGGGAGCACCCGCTGGCCAGCCCTGGTACTGCAGCTCACAAGGCAGGTGAGTCCCACTATTGCTGGCCAGTCCATTCCTGACAGATTTGTCTCTCGAAATCACACTTCTCTGCCTTTGCATAGAGATGATGCTGGAGTAGACGATTCAGAGTTTTCTTTAAATGCTCCTGGTGATTTTCCATGGAACTAGAGAATACCAGGATTTCGTCCAGGTAAACGATTAGGAATAGCTCTAGGTAGTCCTAAAATATATCGTTTACCAGGTGCTGGAAAGTTACGAGGGCATTACAGAGCCCAAAAGGCATCTCCAGATATTCAAAGTGCCTGAACTGGGTTCGGAAGGCCGTCTTCCATTCGTCGCCTTCCCGGATTCTTACTAAGTTGTAAGCTCCCCTCAGGTCCAACTTGGAGAAAAAGCTTGCTTCTCGCAGCCTTTGGAATAGTTCAGGGATTAGCGGCAGGGGATAACGGTTCTTGACTGTTATTTAGTTTAAATCTCGGTAGTCTACACAGGTCTCAGGGGTGTGGTCTCCTTTTTTTCAACAAAGAAGATCCCGGCTCCTGCTGGTGATGTAGATGGTCGAATGAACCCTTTTTCTAAACTTTCATCTATGTACCCCGGAGAGTCTCTAATTCAACTTCAGACAAGAGGTAAATCCTCTCGAACGTAATCTCGGCACTGGGCAGGAGCTCAATTAGACAGTCATAAGGACGGTGAGGAGGAAGGGTGTTGGCACTCTTCTTATTGAACACATCCAAGTACTCATGATATGCCATCGGAACGAGTTTTCATGGTCTCCGGCTCTGAGTGGATACTGAGGAGAGGGGTTGTCATTCTTGCCCCTTTTGGGGTACAATGGATCAGGCAATATTCAGAGGGGAAGGAGACCTCTCCAGACAACCAATTGATGGTTGGATTATGTGCTTTTAGCCAAGGCATGCCAAGAATAACTGGAAACATCGGAGAGGTAATGATGTCTAGGCGTAAGAATTCCTGGTGTCCAGACGGAGAGCAACAGAAGATTGATATAGTTTCCTGTGTTACTGGGCCGGAAAACTGATACCAGACCCTCTGCCAAATGAACTGCAAGCGGAATTAACGTGCCTTTCTGATGGAGCAGTGCTTGTAGAGGGCCCAATTTCTGAGCATATCAGAATCCTCCCGTTAGTCCTTTCATCCTGTCTTTCCCGAATCCTACGGTCGATATGGATCAGATAGGTCTATCAGACTCTCCAATCTGGTTGGTACCCCCACATGGGCCAGCTCATCCTTTAGGATATCCGAAAGACCCAGATGGAACTGATAGCGGAGAGCCGACTCGTTCCACAGAGTATCCGAACTCCAGATGCGGAAATCGGCAACATATTCTTCTACGGGCCTCTGCCCTTTGCTGCAGCTTACTAAGCATAGATTCTGTGGTTTGCCGCTGGAAGGGGTCAGCATAGATCTGAGCCATTGCCGTGAAAAAGGAGTCCACTGAGGTTACGACCAGATCTTGTCGTTCACGGAGATTGTATGCCCAGGACAGGGTTAATTTCTGAGAAGGGTGATGATAAAATCCCACCTTGATATTTGATGAAGAGAAGGTCCTGGGAAGCAACGAGAAGTACAACTCGCAGGAATTCTGAAAGCTCCTTAACTTCTGGCGGGGCTCCTGAAAAGAACTCAGATGTAGCCACTTGGGGTTCCGGAGGGCAGAATTTTCGAGGATCATACTGGCCTCTGTCTGTGTAGCTGTATCAGAGGTTGCCCATGAGGTCTGTGTCTGTGCAGGCATTAGAGTCAGCTAGCAATTTATTTTTCCAGGTGTTCCAAGTCCATCTGCAGACCGTGTATCATGTGGAACAAGGTAGTGACTGATTGGCGAATGTCCCCCCAGTCGTGAGGCTCCCTTTCAGACTCCATCAATGGCTGACTGGTACTGTCGCGTACCTGATGGGAGACTGAGTTGACGAGGTCGGCCTCACTTGTGTCCCTAGCCCTGACCCCACTGAGGTTGGAACAGGGGGGAGTTTGGGGGACAAGAGCGGCAGTTGTTGCTTGTGGCTCTTGCAGATGATGGCCTTGGTAGACTGAGTATCCACTGATTTAGGGCACAGTAGCGATAGAGCAGGCAGGTTCTGTGGATTGCCGGATGTGCAGCAGAGCAAGGTAGGTAGCCAGGAACAGGACTGGAGCAGGGTCAGACAAGCCAGGGTCATAAACAGTCGGGCAGCACAGTACCGAATCAGAAGAGAAAGCCAAGGTCAGGAGCAGAGCCGAAGTCAGGAACCAGGAGCAGGAGAGCAATCGGAGTCGGGTCAGGAACAAGCCGGGTCAACAACAAAGGGAACGTCAGGAACTAGCAGGACACGGGGGGGAGCTGAAAGACCAGTCAGCACTGAATCAGCACCAAGGTGCTCCTTAAATAGCCCGCCCAGTGCCGACAGGCGCGCCTGGTCCTAGTGCCTGCCCGGCGCCGTCATCGTGACAGGTGTGCCTGGGTCCTAATGCCCGCCTGCCTGTATGCCTTGTCGGAATCCTGCGCATGCGCAGATTCATGCGCTGCAGCGATCTTCTTGTTTCCTGATAAAATGTCCTTGCTGGCAATATAAGGCTATATATGGGGAGTAGTTCACCCTCTGTGAAAGTGCCATGTCACACATAAATGAACAGGGTGTATTTACTCACCATCGGCCATTGCCAATAATAGACAAGCTCACCCTTACTGCAATTGATGTATGTCTTCAATGGGCCTTGCTGTAATATCAGTATGCCGCCATGTGGTAGTCTACAGTCTTGCAGCCGTGAGTGACACCTCATAACACTTCCCGAAGAGTGTGCGTCACCCTGATGGGACGAGGCCAGCCGCAATGTCACTGATGTATGACATCAACGCGTTTCGCCAATGGGCGTATCTTACTCAGCTCCGTCAGGACCAATGGAAGGCTCAGCACCGCCCATCTATGTCAGTTACAAATATCAGGCAAACCCATTGGTATTTAGTTAAATACGGTCAAATACTATTACTCAACACACATCCAGGTAAACCACAGGATAAGTAATATAGTGATCTCAAAGAGAACAAAAATAAATATATTACATTCAAATTATTAGTTGTTGAAACCATTAGAATTCCTGGGTCCCAATTGGGTACCAGCAGTTTTAACTTTTCAAGAAGACTTGGAGATTTAGTTCAACGTTTAACCCCTTAGGATACAACATATTGAGCTTATAAATCCACTGTTTTTCACATTTTAACAATTCTCGGTGCGTAGACATTTGCTATTGTAAGTTCTCGGCCTGAAAGGGTGCCCTTAAGAATAATAAACCTACTGTCTGGATCACGGTACACATGTTGAACCTCAAAGGGGATTGAATTATGCAGAAAAATGGCCACCCCTCTACTCTTGGAGGAGTGTAAAGTATAATACCCTTGTCTATAGGATTTGTGAAAATATGTCGGGTGTTTTGCGGCTGCAAAATGTGTTTCCTGCAATAAAATAATTTTAGCCCCTAATCGCCTATACTGAAGAAAGGCTGTTTTGCGCTTGTTTGGCGAGTTGAAACCCTGGACATTATGCGAGATACATTGAATTGCCATAATATGCAAAAATTATTACCATCAGCAAAAAAATATATATTGACAAGACATATACTCGAATTATTTGGCTAGATGTAAGGACCTTCAAGTCCATAACAAATAGATTTACGGGTAGCATTACCAGTCTGGGGGACATCCAGACCCCAAAATGGGGGTTGTGACGTCCACACACCGGTATCAAGTCAACATCATGTACGAAATTTTTGAGGAAAAAAAAGACAAAAAACAGTAAAAGTGAAGCAATGATAGCTGCGACAATGAAAAGAGTACCTGAGAGACATGGATCAGGTATGCAATTAGCTGTACCTGAAAAAACAAAAAATTTCAACATCAAAGGGCCAATCGGGCCCAAACCCTGTCTCCATAACACATGAAAAACGGAGCCGTCACCCCACAATCGGGCGGTGATTCCTCCGGTCATGTCAGGAGGCAGGGTGGGGTAACGTGTCCAAGAGTTGTGAGGCCATGAATCAGTGGGCGATATTCAGAGGGCCCGAAGACCCTTGTTAGACTTAAACACATCCAGTTATCAACGAGAGAGCATATATAGTCTATATAAACACAGAAACAGCTCAACAGCTTCCACAAAAACACATATATATATCCCCAAGGTGTAGGGGGTGCTGAACAATAGACATCCCGTGGGTTGCCTCCTATCCCAATCAAGGGAAATCACTGACCAGGATCATCGATGCAAGTAATAATAGGCAGGAAGGCATGGTCCCATCAGCCCAGTTCTTGTCGGGCCCTCCTCCTTTCCCTCCGTGGAGATGGAGTGTGCCAGATAGGAGAGACACGAGGTGTAGGGGGGGG